TTAAATTTTGAAAAAAAAAATCTTGAAATAAATTGCTGAAGTCTGGGCTTTTCCTGGGGGAATAGACCAGACTGACTCAGCCTGTTATTCATACTGTTTAATCTGTGATAGCATTACATCACTTTCTTGCTTCACAGTTCAGTGCATCTTCCTCCCGCTGCCCTTCACTTCCTTGGAATGAAGTTGCCATCTCTCTGAAAGGATTTCCTTACAGCAGCGCAGCGGACGCTCCCCTCCAGGGTGCTAACGCACATTTTGTGTGTAGGCTGCATGCACAGCAGTGCGAGTCACAGAAAATGATGTCCTTGTTATGCTGCGGCCCAGGAAATAACGTTCAGGTTTTTGAGCTTCGGGAGGCAATAAGCTTCTAATCTCGAAAGGGAAAGGAGCTTTTTCGCCTGGATCCCTAGCACGTTAAGGAATATGTTGACCTGAACTCTTTAAGGGTTAACTTTTCAGTAACAAGATGACTAGTAGTCAAGGCAAAATAGGAAAGCGGTTGACTTAAGACTCAAATGATTTGGCCTCAGCGTCTGGGGGTCTGACTAAGGGGTCTTTTTTTTTTTTTTTTTTTTTTTAAAGAGTACGGGTGCTTCGCACTTTCTGATAGGACCAAGCTGGGCTCCTTTAAAATGGCAACTCCCAGAATTACTTGTCACTTGAAAAATTATTGTTCTAGGGCAGGGGGTCTCAGCGTTTTTATGCTGCGGACTGGCAAACCGCAGACTGGAAGTGACCGTGGACCGGCAAACTGCAGACCAGCAGTGACTGGCAAACTGTGGGCCAGCAGCCAACCCTTTTTTATACTCCAGATAAAAAAGCGTTGGCTGCTGGCCCACAGTATGCCAGTCACTTATGGACTTCCGGCCCAGCAGCCAAAGCCTCCTGCGGACAGGCAGCAAACCCTTCACAGTCAGGGGATTGGGAACCCCTGGTCTAAGGCTTTAAATGTAAATGCTGTTGACAGTTGCTTTTACGAGCTGCTGTCCAGCTGTTGTCCCCCATCTTGGACTGTAAGCTCTTTGGGATAGGGGATGATTTTTTGTTCTGTCCTTCTATAGCACTTAATGCAACAGGCTTCTGGCCTGTGAACAGGGCTGCCATGCACTGCAGTCATACCAGTTGCTGTAATGGGGAGCCCCTACCTTGTTACTAGGAAGCAGGGGGGCATAGCTGGGGCAGGTAGACGGAGCCTGACCTACTTCACTGTCAGGGTGGCTAGGATCTGGAACCAACTTCCAAGAGAAGTGGTGCAGGCTCCTACCCTGGGGGTCTTTTAAGAGGAGGTTAGATGAACACCTTGCTGGGGTCGTTTGACCCCAATACTCTTTCCTGCCACGGCAGGGGGTCGGACTAGATGATCTACTCAGGTCCCTTCCGACCCTAGAAACTATGAAACTAAGTGCAGGAGGTGTGAGCTGTCCACTAGCCAGAGGGCCAGGCAGCTGATGAGACAACTGCAGCACCTGCACCCTGGGAGCAGGGAAAGGGGATAGACTCAGGGCATACAAGGGGTGGACATGGAGGGGACTCTGGCTGCCATACGGCAAAGGCCTCTGAGTGATCCTGGCTGCAGTCTGGAGTCAGGCCAGCCCAGGCGAGATACCTGGTAGGCTATGGGGGGAAATGAGCCTGTCTAGGTAGGAGGGCTTGAGGAAACAAAGCCAGAAGGGTATATTTTTGAGTTGGAACTGTTTGGGTTGGGGTTTTGTGTTCAGGTTTGACCAGAGGTTTGGTTAGTGGCTATCGGGGAGGTTTAGAGGCCACAGGACAGGACATCAGGCAGACTCTGCAGAACAAGACCTGCTCTGGGCACAGTTGCAAAGGGCCAGAACCTGGGCGCTGAGGTCTGAGGCAGTGGACCTGGGCTGAGAGGAAAAGGGGCCAAGGCTGGGATGGCTGAAGCTCCAACAAGTGCTTTGAGGCCTGGCAGGAGGCTGCCTTAAAGGGGAAGGGGAAGCACCCTCAAAGGAAGCATAGGGACCCCCAGGACTGAGTTTGGGCAAAGATGCTCAAGGATGGAGCGAAAAGGGAGCAGCACTGGGGCACAGCACTAGGGCTTCCAGGGACTGCGGCCTCAGTATTACAATAGTAACACCAAAGGTGGGGCAGGCGAGAGAATGGAGGTGGGGGGCAGACTCCAGGGGACACCAGCAGCTGGGGTGGACTCACGAGCTTGCGCCAATCACTAGTAAATACAGTTGTTGGGGACATTTTGTGGTATTGTTTGAAGGGATATGCTTTTTACTATTTTTGAAGTACCCTTTGTTATAATGCTAGGCTTCTTTCACAGCTCTGTGGAGACCTCTGCTATATTGACAATTAGGATCAGGAGACTAAAGGCTTTGCTCAACACTGGCTGATCTGTCTCAAGTATGTTAAATTTTTAGGGAAATTTTGGACCATAACAAGTAAAGCAAACTCCTGTTTCCAGGCACACACTCCCTGCACTGGATGCCCTTTGTACTTGCTGTATCACTTTTCTCAGTTCTTTAGGCTCTGTATTCCTGCAAGTCTCTTCCTTACTAATGCCCTATTTCCTTCAGGCTGGCAGCTACCTTTCTCTTTGGCAGTGCTCAGCCCTCCCTTATCCTCCTGCCTTTGACATTTTTAAATTTATATATATGCCTGGAGAACAATATGGCTGTATGAGCAACAGGGTATCTTTTGCCTGAAATGATCAATGTAATGAATTCAGAATCCAGGGCCTGAAGGGGCTCTTTAATCCCAAGTATTTTTATGTCATGTACCACAGCAGCCTGGATGGACTCCTGAAACTCCTGTGTTGCATAAACAGATGATTTGCCCCCACCCCAGTAACAGCAGTGGAGCTGGTTCACAGGCCTTGCTGTGCTTCCCCCGTCTGCTCTTTGCTTCCCCCTGTAAGGGGGCATGGAGTAGAAGTGAGTGCTACCAGCACCAGGTCAAAGCAATCCAGAACCCTTCTCCTTGTAATTGTGACAGCATGGCTGCTGCGCTGTGGCAAGGGTCCCCCCAGTGCTGGTGAGGCTGCCAGAGCAGCAGGTCTGAGGTTTAGCACTGCATAGGGGCAGTCTTTTCTGAAGACTAGAGATGGGGCAGCTATGATGGATGAGCTGAGCTAGTACCAATTCTTCTCAATCTTTGCACAGAAAAGGCAGAGAGCAGCAGCCTCACTGGGGAGCTCCAGTGGGAGCCCCTATCTTTCCAAGGGAGGTGGGAGTCCAACCTGATTTGCTGATTGCTGGCTCGGCCAAGCATACTTCAAGTTTCCACTCTCCTCTGGTAAAGGTCTCTGTAATTTTAAACCCCTGGACTCATTACTAGGGATCCTCAAGATCAGCCAGGCAATGGATTTAGTTTCCAGCTCTGCACGGGGGTCTAAGATGGTGGTTTTTCAGGGGAAGCTGAACATGAACATGGCTCCTCTGGGTGCAGGCAACCCAGGCTGAAGGATTATACTGGTGCAGAAGGTTGCAGCACGAGTTGCTTCAGCAGCATATGGCATGTTACTGAAGCTGGGCTCCTAAAATCTGAGCTTGCTGCTAATTATGCCGTGGAAGCAAAGGCAGGAATCAGCTCTGAAGCTGGCACAAGTTTTTATAAGCAAGAGTAACTGGACAAGCATTGCCATGAATTCTCCATTGCCGGGAAATTTAAAATCCTGACTGGATGAGTTGTTTTTTGTTTTTTAAGGACATGTCCTACCCTCAGTGGGACCTAACTTGGGCACTCCTGCATAGGGGAGACAGACTAGACAATCACAATAGTTTCCTTCTTGATCCTACCTCTGAAGCATTCTAGGTTGGTGCGTACTGCCTATCACCTTGGCTCACGTGATATGAACGTGTGTCTAGCTTGATGCTTTCTTACCCTTAGACAAAGGATGCCATGGTAATACAAAGTGCTGTTCTTGCTTTGCCTTTAGTTGTATTTTGCACAGACTTCCAAAATGAAGCAGCATTTCACAGCTTGGGCAATGCAAAGTCACATGGCAGCTTCAGGACCACATACTTTTAAATTGATGACTTTATAAAAATTACCTGATCCCTTGAGAACTTGGTATGCATTAAAACAAATCAAGGAGAGCTGGGAGGTTATTTCAGTATTTTTGCTGTGGAACAATACTGCAGTGCAGCTATCGCATCTGAAAGGAACCAACAGTCCATTCACTATGATCAAACTAATTGGACTGGCTGTAGCTTTTGCTCACCCTCCCTTATTAGCTCATGAACAGCATAAAATGTGCTCGCCCCTCATCACTAACCAGTCAACCTAAATTAAATTTTCCAGACACACCCAAGTGAATTAGGAGTGCAAGCTCCATGTTCAAAAGTGACTTGGATGCTTTGTTCAAGTCTCATTTAAAGTCTCACAGGCCAGATTTGCAAAGGTGCGAGGTGTCTAAAAGTGCAGCTAGGGCTCTTCCGTGAGCCAGGTGTCGTATTGGTTCCTTCGGGAGTTTGGTGCTTTTGCAGATCCCACACTTGTCTGCCCGTTGAAATGGAGGGGAATATTCCCACTGGACTTCAGAATTTGGCTCTGGCTCAAAATCATTAGGCTGCAGCACTTTGAATGAAGCATTATCCTAACAATTCATTCCCCCCTCCCACCCCAGCTTGCTTAATTCAATGCTACAGCCCTGGTGTCACTCAGTAGCCTACCTTCAGCGACTTGATTTCTTTTCTCCAAGGGAAGAGAAACAGGTTGACGCAGAGCAGCTCCAGGAACTCGAAAGCTTTGATCAGGCCTCTGAGAGTGTTGCCTCCCTGCTCCTTTTTCATCTTGAAGCAATTCTCTGTGATGCCGTAGAAGTTAAACCTGCTAAAAGACTCGCCACCCTCTAGGAAGTGTCTGGCTTTTGTTTTGATCGTTGTCTCATTGCAAGCCACAAGTTTTCCTTCCAGCCTCTTGGTGCCATAGTATGCGAGATAGTCCATCAGAAGGTCCTGCCTGGCTGGCGCTGGCCCCTTCAGCTCCTTCATGGTTTCAGGAGCCTCTCCCTACCTAGTCCTGCTCCTTCAATGTCAAGCCCTGGGATGGATTATTTCTAAATGAGGAAGTGGCTCAGGCTCGTCTCTGACCTGTCATTGGCCTGCTGCAGACCCTGCAGGGATGGCAGTGGTCGCCCTCTGTGTCAATCAGGGATCAAGTTGCACGGACTCTTGTGCAACCAGGAAGTCCAAGTCGCCGGCCTCAAAGCAAAAGCGAAACCTGCTTTCAGGCTCTCTCCCATCCGTGATCACACACCCTGCTCCGAGCGCTGCAGCTGGGGCAGTGCCAGGGCAGCACTTTGGATTATTGCTGCCCTATGCTGAAAGCCATAGTTATGCCTGAAAAAAAAGTAATAGGACAGTTCCTACTGCATGGAAAAAGAGTGTAATGGCCTGTAACCTCATGGGAGAGGGTCTGCCAGAGGCTGGGGATGGGGAACCCTTTTTAAATTGGGAAGAGATAACACTGCTTGTTCAAAACCTACTCGCTGTGTTCATGCCATAGACTCGCTGAAATCCACTGCGCTTTCGGTGCCAGGCTTGGGCTCAGCCCCACGTTTAATGCAGCTACGAGTAGAGGGGTCCCGCAGTCTTTGCAAAGGCAGAAACCTGGCTGACTTTTATTTGAAAGGGAGCAGGGACCAGAGCCACGTGGCCTGAACAATGCTTGAGCAGTGCAGGAAACCCGGAGGTCTGCCCAGGGAGGGTAGAGAGAGAGCTCTGCTTGCCCCTGTTCACTTTACTTCCCAACTTTTGTGGTGCGGCCTGTCAGAGTCCAGTGAAATCTGTGAATTGTGCTAAATACCTTGTCACGAGGACACCGGAAGGGAAAGGAAAGGAACGGTGCAGCAGAATCTGCTGCATTAGAGATCTCGCTTCACTTTTCACTTTTACTCTGACCATGAGACCAGAGTACCCTGCTGTTCTGACCTGCCCGTCCTTGGAGCCCGTGCCATGACCCTCGGTCGGTGTAGCTAATCATCCAGGTGCAGGGCTCCACGCTGGGACCCACCGGGCCTGCCCCCGACAATGAACACGTTTGAGCGAGACCGCGGGAGCTTCACGCCGGCCTGGATCTCGGTTCTCACAGGTTCTCTGGGCTTTGGCAGCAGGGCAGAAGCTCTGCACTAGCTTATGAAACATTTTAAAAACTGGGTGTTGCTATTGCCCGAAATAAGGAAATGGCTACTGCAGCATCTTCCTTCTGTTGTTTCGTTGGATGCTCAGTTTGTTTTACTCTGCCTCTCTATCTCCAGGATGAGAGTGCAGGCAGCGGTTGAATTAGGGGTCTCTTTCCTGCTCTTACCCCTTTGTGGGAAGATGCCTAATCTGGCTTTTGGGTGATGTTCGAGCCAACACCTGGAGTCAGCATAGGATAAAACAGCTCCCCCAGTTCTGGTATGCTTGCAGTTGGAATCGGGGTCTGCCCCAATTTGGTTCCCCAGCTACCGTCTGTTTGCCTTCTAGGGGTCTAGCAGGACTTTGTGGGCCAAATATTGAACTAGTGCAATTGGGCACTACTCCACTGATATCCTGGGAATTGCATTCACTGATAACCAGGTTTGGGGGGCCCCTTAGTGGGCCTATTTCCTACTAGAGGTGATTCTGGTTTCTGCAAAGATACTGTTTCCAAAGGACTGTTTTCCTGTTTCGTCTCTTTGCAAATGCTGTCTCCCTTGATTGGATTCTTGAGCAAATCCTAGGCTCAAAAACACAATCCTTTGTTGCTTCCGGTGTGCACAAAGATGTCTATGTCCCATTGTGGCAATGGCTTTGCGCCTGATTTCCTATGTTGGAGGCCTTTTCATGAACACGTGCTTCCTGAAGGTCCCAGAGGTAAAATGTCATCAGAAATTATTTACTTAGCAGTTGTGCTGGGTAATGGCTATATAGATACCATTGATCTTGCTGTAGGAAAAACATACCATATGTTAGGCCAGGCGTGGGCAAAATGCGGCCTGTAGGCCAGATGTGGCCCACCAGGCCATTCTATCTGGCTTGCGGGGCTCCTAAAAATTTTTGAAAATTTAATATTTATCTGTCTTGGGCTGCCTGTCATGCGGCCCTCGATGGCTTGCCAAAACTCAGTAAGCGGCCTTCTGCCCAAAATAATTGCCCGCCCCTGTGTTGCATAAATTGCTGATTTTTATCCCCTGGAGGCTAGTCCAATTCACCTCTAGAAGAGAGTCACACTTTCAGGCTGGGTCCAACTCTATTTTATTGCTTGCAAGCAGGCCGACAGAGGAGCTTGTTGCTCAGATCAGTGTCGACCCTAAACAAAGAGCGCACGTGGCTTTTATTGAGCTAGCATTTTTTTCAGTTGACGTGTTACATTTTGATTGGTCATTTCAAACCAAAACCTGAGCATCCTATAAGACATAGGTAGTGGGCTATCCTGTACCATGTGGGTGGAAAGTTACAGAATGCAGGGGTTAATACTAAAACAAGGAACAAAGAAACATAGAGAAAAGTAACTATTTTTGCTACACCTGTGTTAGGTGGTGGCTGTTGTGACACTTCTTTGTCTCTTCCACTAGTGTTGTACCAGCATACAAAGGCCATGTATGGCACTGCTGTGAGTGGTGTGCCTATGTGCAACTCTGCTGCACTGCTCCATAAGCAGGTTACTGTTGATCCCAATGAAGGATCAGTGTGTGTGTGCGTGTGTGGGGGGGGAAACTTCCCATCCCTCACCTTCCCTTGTAGGGGACCAGAAGGGATCCAGGTTTTCTGTTTGCTGCAGAAAAACAGAGATTTCCTCCCTTTAAGGAGAAAAACATGGGAAACAGTGGATTTCCCTTTTCAGGCTGGCAAAGTTCTGGCCTGCAAGGGCCTGGGGCGAGAGGGAAGACAGCGATCAAGCAGGGGGTGCCATGTGCATGCATGCGTGTATACATGCATATGGCAGCCAAGCAGCCTAGAGAGCAGTTCCTGCAGCTCTTCACAGGTAAGCCGGGGGGGGGGGGGCAGGGATTGAGGTCCCTGTAGTGAGTGAGCTGGGGTGGTGTGTGCGGCTTGGGGTCTGGGTGCAGGGCGGGAATGCACACCCACAGGGCCCAGGCCAGGAGTAAGACAAAGCCATGGGTGGCTCACCCAGGGGGAAGTAGGGGGCCTAATTCCCTGCCTCTGCACGCACTCATGGGGAGGAATGGGAGTCATGTGCCCCCAGATTTGTGTGCAGGCTGGATGTGGGCTGGCCACTGCCCAACAGTCTTTGCTCCAGCCATACTGCCCACGGTGTGGGGAGCTGGGCTCTGAGCTCTGCTCTGGCTGCAGCAGCCGCTACATCTCATGGGTGGCAGCTGGGGCTCAGGTACGGCTGCTGGGGGGGGACTTAGGGGGTTGTGAACCTGGGTCTCTGGTCCCCTAGCCCTGGCAGCTGGGGACCCCCTCTGGCAGGGCTGGGGGGGCCAGGTGGCTGTGGGTGGGTAGTCAGGGGCCCCAGCAGGGTCCGGGGGGCTGTGGGTGGGGAGTGAGGGGTAATGACATGGGTCGGGCAGTGATGTATCAGGGCTGCTGAGCACCACAAAGCAGTGGGGGGGACAGTCACAGCTGGACGTGTATCCTGGTGAGTGAAGGGGGCAGGGGGAGCTCTGATTTTTCCATGATAAAACCCCCCAAATCAAATGCCAAAACTTGAATTTAAAATTTATTGTATAGAGATTGGGGCACTGGTAGGCTTCCAAATTGCTTTAAAATTGTAAATATATCAATAAAACATTGTGTTCAACTGATACCTCTCCCTATATGCATTTCATTTTAATTGTGGAAAAACGCGGAGTTTAGGTTTTCTAATCGGAGAATTTGTGATATTTTTATTAGGGAACTTGCAATTTTTAAACGGAGAAAACCAGGATCCCTGGTGACCAGTGATGAGGTGTTAGGAACTGGTTGTCAGAGCTGATGTAACCTAGAAAGAATAAGTTTGGCAGAAAGATTGAGGCCAGGAATGAGGATGAGAGAGAGAACAAGCAAGAGAGACGACGCATATACCACACCCAGGGAGCTGTGCCTGTTGGGGCAGGGTTGATGCATGTTCACAGGGCAGCATGAAGAATCTTGCTCTGCTTCAGCTCCAAGGAGTCGGGCTGGCTCTGCAATAAAGCCAAGCTGCATGGGTTTGTCTGCACATAATGTACTGCCGGTAATCTAAGTCACTGTTTTCTCAGCAATGCATCAATACATGGGTCCAGTATCGGATCAGCACCAATATAAAGAAAATTCACTGTGTCAGAAATCGGCCTGATGTGGCCAATAATGTGGCTGATAAATGGCTTGTGCATGTGCGCAGTTGCAGTGCGTGTAGGCGATGAGGAACACGGCCCGGCAGCTTGGGGAGCTGTGTCCAGCTGGTAAGTCTGTTATGGTGGAACGGGAATGGGGAGGGGAGGGCAAGGGCCTGGGGGGGATGCAGATCAAGGCCCCCATGGTGATGGAGG